CCTGTAGCGTGGCCGAGCTGCACTCCGGTCCGCGGTGGGCGGCCGGAGTGATAGGAAGGTGCACACTGAGTGTGCACTTCCTGTCAGTCCGGCCGGTTACAGGAGTTTCTGTTTCCTGTAACCGGCCGGACTGACAGGAAGTACACACTCAGTGTGCATCTTCCTATCACTCCGGCTGGCCACTGCGGACCGGAGTGCAGCTCGGCCACGCTACAGGGGAGGGGAGGGGAGAAGCTGCAGCCGCCTGACCGCTCTTCACAGAGCGCTCAGGCGGCTGCAGTATTTAAAGGGCCGGCCCCAGGTGCTGACGGCCCACCGGGAAATTTCCCGGTATCCCGGTGGGCCATTCCGGCCCTGCCCTTCGGTCACTTACCTGAATCCAGCGTCAATGTTCCTTGCCACTGGGTCAGGCTCCGCCACGCTCCTCCCCCGCCATTTTCAGCCGACGGGGAGACCTAATAAGCATGCGCGGCAATGGCTGTGCATTAGGATTTCCCCATACGAAAGCATTGATCAGTGCTTTCCTATGGAGAAAATCTGACTGGAAGTCCTCATGCAGATAACAGACCACCACTGCAGGCAGACGTAGAGCTGCAATGTAAACATTGCAGCACCCAGACTACTTCAATTAGCTGAAGTGGTCTGGGTGCCTACGGTGTCATTTTAAGCTGAAGCAAGAAAGGTGAATGTTAGTGTAAGACCCACCTAAGAGGTTTGCCAGATTATACCCCTGCTTACTACATAACCATCACACACACACATACATATACAGTGAGTATATCAGCTATTTTATCTAGGTAAAAAATGTCTACATCTACCCTACCTACATCTCTTGTCTTGTAGACTGTACTCTGCTGACATCTAGCGGCTAATTAAAGGAAATGAAAGCCATAACATGACATACATGGTTAGTGCTCTATACTTAAATCATCACTTAGTTCTTGCAAGCAAGAAACATGTTAGGTGTTTGACAAATGCTCCTGCCCTCTGGGAAACTCGAGGATCACCTGCTGTTAAAGGATATAGGAAAGGTTTGGGCACACCAGGGTTCAGTGTCAAAGCTTGGCCAAGACCACACAATGTTAAAGTTGCCTGAAACTGAGTCCTGGTGCACCTGAGTGTTTTTTGGTTTTCCTGTTATGTATGGGGGTAATTCGGGTCATGTTTGATTGGCATCCATTGTGGCTGCGGTTCCTGTTCTTTATGGCAATGATAGTGTGTATAGAGCCCAGAGGCTGTACATACACTGGTCCTCTTTTTATACTGGTGCTAGAGGGTATTGGAACCCCCTTAAGCCATCATACTTTTATTGTTCTGCTCGCAGAAGGTGGAGAAAAGGGGTAAGACATTTGACAAAATGTTTAAAGATAATATTACCCTCCACCTGCAATGCAGCAAAGAAAGGGGGTCTTTTTATGTAACGATTCATGCCTGGCTAATTGGGGTTTTAGTTTTGGCTACTGCACTGTTATCGTACACAACATAACCGCTATTACTGGTGTAGTGTTTCTGAGATGGCGTAGTGTTTCTGAGCTGGCGTAGTGTTTTCAGAGATGGCGTAGTGTTTCTGAGATGGAGTAGTGTTTCTGAGATGGCATAGTGTTTCTGAGATGGTGTAGTGTTTCTGAGATGGCGTAGTGTTTTCAGAGATGGTGTAGTGTTTCTGAGATGGAGTAGTGTTTCTGAGATGGCTTAGTGTTTCTGAGATGGTGTAGTGTTTCTGAGATGGCATAGTGTTTTCTGAGATGGCGTAGTGTTTTCTGAGATGGTGTAGTGTTTCTGAGATGGTGCAGTGTTTTCTGAGCTGGCGTTGTATTTCTGAGATGGCGTACTGTTTTCTGAGATGGCATAGTGTTTCTGAGATGGCGTAGAGTTTCTGAGATGGCGTAGTGTTTCTGAGATGGCGTAGTGTTTTCTGAGATGGAGTAGTGTTTCTGAGATGGCGTAGTGTTTGCTGAGATGGCGTAGTGTTTGCTGAGATGGCTTAGTGTTTCTGAGATGGTGTAGTGTTTCTGAGATGGCGTAGTGCTTCTGAGATGGCTTAGTGTTTCTGAGATGGAGTAGTGCTTTCAGAGATGGAGTAGTGTTTCTGAGATGGCTTAGTGTTTCTGAGATGGTGTTGTGTTTCTGAGATGGCGTAGTGTTTTCTGAGATGGAGTAGTGTTTGCTGAGATGGCTTAGTGTTTCTGAGATGGTGTAGTGTTTCTGAGATGGTGTAGTGCTTCTGAGATGGCTTAGTGTTTCTGAGATGGAGTAGTGTTTTCAGAGATGGCATAGTGTTTCTGAGATGGAGTAGTGTTTCTGAGATGGCTTAGTGTTTCTGAGATAGTGTTGTGTTTCTGAGATGGCGTAGTGTTTTCTGAGATGGCGTAGTGTTTTCTGAGATGGAGTAGTGTTTCTGAGATGGCTTAGTGTTTCTGAGATGGTGTAGTGTTTCTGAGATGGCATAGTGTTTTCTGAGATGGCGTAGTGTTTTCTGAGATGGTGTAATGTTTCTGAGATGGTGCAGTGTTTTCTGAGCTGGCGTTGTATTTCTGAGATGGCGTACTGTTTTCTGAGATGGCATAGTGTTTCTGAGATGGCGTAGTGTTTCTGAGATGGCGTAGTGTTTTCTGAGATGGTGTAGTGTTTTCTGAGATGGCTTAGTGTTTCTGAGATGGTGTAGTGTTTCTGAGATGGCATAGTGCTTCTGAGATGGCTTAGTGTTTCTGAGATGGCGTAGTGTTTCTGAGATGGTGTAGTGTTTCTGAGATGGCATAATCTATCATGAAAACCATTTTATACTAAGTGCACCGAGAGCTGGTCTATGAACCCACAATCTTAAGGAGATAATGGAGATTGGGATTGAATGAAACATGAGATTACTTCAAATGTACAGGATGTTACAGACAGGCAACATGGACATCCAGCCAGTGTGTCCTCCTGGTGACATTCTGCTGTAAGTAGTTAAAGGTAAGTAACAGTCACATCCAGCCAGCGAGTTCTCATGGTGACATTCTGCTGTAAGTAGTTAAAGGTAAGTAACAGTCACACCCAGCCAGCGAGTTCTCATGGTGACATTCTGCTGTAAGTAGTTAAAGGTAAGTATCAGTCACACCCAGCCAGCGAGTTCTCATGGTGACATTCGACAGATGTTAAAGGTAGATAGAATGCCCATGCTGCTTGTGATTCATTGTGGTGGCATTGTGTGGTATGCACATTCATTTCTTGGATTTAAGGGGAATTCATAATAAATAAATGGTCTAGAAATGTGTAATAATGCCACAGATCATAGATTTTAATGAAGGACAATGAAACACCATCGTCAAAGCTGTAGCGGTCACTTCTATATAAAGAAAGATATTCTGCCTATTAAGCATGTGAGTCTTTAAATTCTGCCTCTGTTATAGGTATAAAACAAAATGGAACATGCAGAAAAAAAGTATGATTAAAATTTCACTTATGGAGTTTACAATATTCTTATTTCATATTTTCTTGCAAAGAACTGAGAGCTTGTTTTTGAGTTAGTCTTTTCCATTCGCTTGGGATGTCTGCTGGCTCGACATGGTAATGTTTTGCAAAACTATCATTAAACTGTTTAAGTACAAATTTCCAGTAATCGGAGGAATTCAGGTCTCTGTCAGGTAGAATGACCCAGTTTGGGTAAATGGTTCGGTAATCTTTGTACTGCAGCCATTTGCCATCTGTGTCAGAGTTTATAAAGCTGTCATTGGAAAAGACATCAGCAGAACATGTGGAATTGCAAAGGATGTTGGATTCTGAGCACTTGTATGGGGCTAATCCTTTAGGTCGGTGGAAGCTTGAAAAGTGATATTGATGATTATTCCCACCGGCTTCACAGGGAGCATCACAGAATGGACATCTCTTTCCACATCCAATGATCTTCTGACATAATTCATCTTGAGGTTTAAATGTCAGCTTTGGAAGGACATCCTCAATACCCATAGATATTATGCTGGACTTTATTTCCTCTTCCGTTGAATCAAGAAAGTATGCAATATCAGTAGAAAACTGGCAGATATTTGAGATGTTCTGGAAACTGGTCACTTTCATTGCACTCTTTGAAAGCACCAAATCTTTCTTCAACTCCATTGAGAAGACTTGCAGCATTTGAGACACACTTTGACTACTTTGTACTATCGGTTCTTGAAGAGCTGCTTTGATTTTTTTACCAATGGAAGAGACAATTTGTGATACTAAATTATCTAATTCTGCAGAGTTGTTGTATTTCTTAACAATATATTTGGAAATCCACCTTTTTACATAGTTGTCATATTTTGTTACATATCGTAAGTAGTTCTCAAATCTGTTTATTTCAAGAAGTTCCTTCAAAAGGGTCAACTGGAAATGTTTACGACTGCTGAACATCATGGCATCGGCACATTTCAACATATCATCAATTATTTCTTTTCCAAGATTTTTGTAGGTGTGTTCTTTTATGGCAGGCTTCAAACATTGCTCACAGAAATGTTCAGCGTGTCTCCTGGACTTGTCTTTATATAGCATCCTGTTTTTAAATATCGAGAAGTACTGAGGCTTAAAGTTATTGGTAACCCGTATTGGATCATTATTTATGCCAAAGTTATCATGCATGTTCTGGAAAAGAGGAGCTGCTCCTCCCAAAATATGGAGTTTAAGATCCACCTCAAACTGCGGGGTGGGGTGAAGTTTTCTAACCTCTTCTTCATCCAATTTGTGATTTATCATGTCTAGTAGATTCTGACAGTACATTTCATTGTAATCTTCTTCTGTGTTTATTTTTTCATTAACATAAACCTGACAATCTTCAGCTAACGAATGTGCAATGTGAGATAACTTTTTATAGCAATCTTTGGTAATGAATTCCACAATATTCCAGAAAAAGCCATGATCCATGTAGATGTTATTCATTTCAAAGCTCTTCTGTTCGTAGTATTTTAGTGACTTAACGTTATTTAATTTCTCAGTAACCGCACCTGGTCTGTTCTTCATCTCCCGTTTTAGTTGTTCCAACATTTCAATTTCAATTCGATGCTTCCTCAATCTGGTCATATTGAATTCTTGTAAAATATTATCCCACAAGGCATTAAATTCCAGCTTTAGTTCTCTTTCATTCGGAGTACTGTGGTTCATTCTGTGATTCTGTAAATGTTTGGTGACTTTTTCTTCAATGAACTGTTGGATTTTGGTTTGTATGATCTGAATCTCGCTTTTCACATTTTGAATTCGGACAGCCTCCCAACATTTGTTGGATGCCATAACTTCAAGATCTTTCCTTAGACTTTTCACATATATCAGAAAATCTCCCCTATATCTTTCTATCAGGTGCACATTGGCACACCCACTCTTGAAGAACTGTTCTAATGTCTGGGTCATATTTGTCTCTTCTCTGTCTAGCAGTTCCTTGATTCTTTTTTCTAGAATATCTGATGTTACATTTTGAAGATTTTCTGGTAATTGGTTCTTAATTATATTTTCATACTTAGCCAAATTAGAATGGACCTTTTTGCGAAAGTTCCATTCCAACTCTGAATATTTTACAGACATTTGATCGTAAGCTTCTGCCACTAGGATATTTCGGAAACTGAAAATGAATGTTTCATGTTTTACTGCATTCCACAGACTCTTTGTCCATTCCATGAAAGAATTTATATTCTGAGGCTCAGGTGACTGCCTTTCTTTTAATAGTGTAAATAAGTATTTTTTCAATTGAAAGACATTTTCGCTGTAACCTTGGTTTATTATTGCCATAGGTGGGACCCCATGCCATAATCCAGGAAAGTACCAGCTGTGCTTTTCAGTATCAAAGTCAATTATGTCACAAAATTTCATGGATTTATTCCGTTTCTCCATTTGAGCTGCTCGTTGAGTCATTTCATTTAGTTAATTCAAAAGATTTTCTCTACCTACCTCATTTTTTGTGTGTACTGTCACATCGCTTACATTCTGATGTACAAGGTGGAAATTGGGTTTCTTTCCAACTTCACTCATCCTAAGGAAAGCATGAACCACAATCTGCAAGGTGTCTTTCATTTCTGCTGAGTTCTCCATGGCCATATTAATTATGGTGATATCACTCAGTCCGACAACGAACGTTGCCAGCTCATTGTCATGTTCATAACTGTCCTCAAGAGAAGACAATTCTGGAGCTTTCAGACCTTCAGTATCAATCACCAGAATAAAGTCACAGCCCAGCTCCTGCTGGACTTCCTTTTTCACTTTAATAAGGGTCATGAAAGCCCCTCGTGTACATCGTCCACTAGACACTGGGAACTGCAAACCAAACATGGTGTTCAGTAGGGTGGATTTCCCCGTACTCTGAACTCCCAGCACAGTGATCACTCTCATTCTGCATTGTCCTTTTGTTTTAGTTTCCAGCTCATTAAGGATGCTTTCTATCCACTGCAGAGGGATATTAGAAACATCTCCATCAATCATCTCCAATGGGAACCCACCCAGCAGGAGATCAGCTGCTATTCCTGGGAGATGACTGAATTGTTTCTGCTTTGGACTGATTTGTTCCTGTTTAATCATAGAACATTCAACTTCATAGAACTGCCCCATCTCACGAATGAAGTGCTCAATCCCCAATGAACTATATGATATATCGTGGGAAAGTCGCTTCAGTTCATTTTCTTTTGTTGACTCTGCAATGCTTTTTCTCCTGTACTCAGCCTGTAACTTTAAACCATGCCTTCTAGCTATAGAGTCCAGATAAAACTTCAGCCATTTCATGAAATAACATTTTCCTGTCTCTGTTAAATGAGTGATAGCGGTAAGAAAGTTCTTGATGCCCTCAGGCATCTGATGTTGATATTGGGTCTTTGTTAAGTCAAAACATTTTTTCACGAGTTGATTTCTGTAAATAGTAGTGTTACATCTTCCTTGATTCTTCATTCTACACATCTCTTTTTCCAAGCCAGATATCTCCTTCCACAGATCTCCCTGCAATTGCATATTTTCTCTCTTGTATTGAGCTACATTCTTTATTTCACTAATGATTAACAAGGCATGCTTCCTGGCATTCTGACATTCCACAGAATCCTCATCTACTTTTATTCCATACCTATTGGCGACTATTGCCATACTGTCTAGGCTTTGCCGACTGCCCTTGTCCTTCATACTGTCTGAGATAATTTCTTGAATATCACTTACAGATTTAAATGGATTTCTATTGCTGGGTTTAATTATGAAAACCTTTAGTGTTGAGGACAATTTTTTCAGATTTTCTCCTGAAATCTGCATTTTCTGTTTGTCATTATTTGGACTAAGAATAAAATAATAATTTGTGTCTGTGTCTCGGAGCTTGGTAAACAGTATGTAATGCTCTTCAGTAAAACTCTCAATAAATATAAAGACAGTGGCAGATATCTGTGTTAGAAAGGTGAATTGTGCCAAGTTAGATTCCAAGTCTCCGTGTAAATTGGTGACAGCAAAGGGTTCTGGGAAAGTTTCAGAGTTCCCTGTACCACCAGGGAAGAACCAAGATATTTCTACTAACCCGTCAGAGACCTTTCCAGGGTAATTCCCACAATCCATGTCCTGATTCACAAAAATACTGTAATGTGCATGAGCCGGGCTTAGCAAATGATTCAGGAATTTAGATTTGGATAAGGTACATGTACCCAGCCGCACAAAAGAGAAGATCGGCATGGGAATGTTCACCACGTTATCCTCCATAAACCCTTTACTGTCTGCTAATGAGTGAGGTCTCCATCTCTTCACAATGTCTCTCATTGCCCATAGCATGAAGGTGCAGTTAAAGCCATCCCCAGCAGGGAGCAGCAGAGGGACAGCAAACTGGCACATGGACATCTTGGTTACAATTTCCTGTTGTAAGAAATGGTCTGAACAATTCAGGAGAACACACAGAACATCCAGGGGGTGGACAGAATTAGACGAGTCTGTTTCTTCATCATCGTCATAACACTGAAACCTGCTCAGACTATCCTTAGTCTTTTCACTTTGTGCGGGTTCTTTAAGTGTTGTGTTTCTTGCGTTCACATTGAGAGCCATTACATTCTGCAGAAAATACCAGGGAATGTTCTCTACAGTCCGTAGTTCAATGTCATTCATGGATTCCTGCCCGATATTCAAAACATACTGTAGAGTGAGCTTTGTCTGTCTGCATTCTCCCATCTTTAGCCGTGACATGAGGGCAGTAAATTCAGGGCTTTCTCCTGGGGAAATAAAGATGGCATGGAAAATGAGCTTGAATTTGATGATCTATAACCTTTTCACTTTAGAGGAACTGCCACTTTGCTGAAGGTTCCACCATTGAATAAAGCATTAAAAAACAAGTTCCAACTTGTGTTCACCTTTTATATAAAGATGCTCTGTGTATATTAAAGATTTAGCAGTTGGCACCACAATCCAGTTGACTCCTGGCACAGTCATGACATTGCATTGGAGAAGTTGAAATAGAAGCATTGCTTCTGTTTCTCCTCTTTTCTGTACGCCCTCTCGATGCCGACTGTCACATGCAAAGGACAGAGTTTATAGCTACAATGACACTGACAGTTGGCAGTTTATGTATTCAAGCTCTATTGTCACTAGAAAAATGTTGTGAACCATCCTGTCTTGCCTAGTTTGGATTAAACACGTCAAAACTCTTTTGGAGTTTTTGTAGGACAGCCAGTTCCATCTGCCTCCCCTTCTAAATCCTGCCTGTTCTAATCAGAACTCTGCCTAGAGTGACAGGAATTCCTGGGTATCCCGGTTGAAGGGACCACTGAATTGTCATTGTTTTCATGTATGCCAATATTGTAGCTGGGCATGGTGTAATATAGTATATATCACAGCTTGAATTTGTTGTTTATGTATCAGTAGAAAAAAAATCAGGATTTAGAGACCTGTACAGTCAATTGTTGACTGTTTCTTTGTAATAAGTTCTGGTTATTTTCTATTGAGCCTGTGGGAAGAGATTTATATACATCTTGCAGCAGTTTCTAGTTGCATTCCCTGCACCCAGTTACAGGATAAAGAGGCATGGATTTCTACATTTAAAAGGACATGCATAATTTTGAGACAACTGCATCAATCAAAAGCTTTAGTTTCTGTATCGTTTTTACATACTGTGGCAAAACCAGCCACTTCAGCATGTATTTTCATGTGTGGGATACTATCCCTTTAAAGACTGTTAGAACCAAGTTGATAAATGTATATGTATATTGTGCGAACGAGAACATTTGTATGCTGGCGGCGAGAAAGCCACCAGCATTCATACAATAGTTTCACGAACAGTGTATTTCAACACTGTTCGTGAAACGAACTAACTACCGAATGGGAGACCACACACAGGAGGTCGTGTGTCTCCCATTAAAGATTGCAACAATGTTTCCTTCAGTGAATATTGGATTTCAGGGTGGCCGCCGTTCGGCTACCGACCACGCGGCGGTCGACCATCTTGGTTCCTTTGTTAGCCCAGCGGTATTTGGTCATCGAGCGCCTGGAACTAAAATCGTCTACTCGACGGCACGAATACCACTGGACTTCCAGGCCGTTCGGGAGCACCGGTCCTTCGGTAGTTTGTTTCCCTATATGTAGTCGGTATTTTAAGATGAATATAAAGTAATATGTATTTTCATGCGGCGTTCGGTTATTTATGCTGGGATCTGAGTGGTACTTTCACGAATGGTATGCTCAGACCCCAGCTATCTGCCGAACGGTCATTCGGTAAAATAACGTGAATAATAGGGAAGTTATGTATTTTTATGTAAAATGTCAGTTCTGCTGCACGGAGGGATAATCCACTTAACTGGATATTCTAGTGGGAGTATCCCTCGCGTACAGCAGTACATGGTGGGAGAAATGTCCGGGTTGTTAAATTTCCCATTTAGTCCCCTACTTTACAACCCCTCGAATGTCAGTAGGTAAACCCCTTGCATGGGGAATCCCATAAATACAGTGACCTGTGATTAAAAGCTCAGTTGACTCCCAGCCTATGTGTCGTCTAGTTCTTGGGAAGGAAGGATTCATACAACGCTACCGGGATTATTGTATGCTGTGTTTATTTGCCTGGATTATTTTATGCTGTTCCTGTTACCCAGCGGAGATACCGTGGATTATACTACCTCTCCGCTACACATACATGTTTCTTTTTTCATATTTACCACCTTCCCTTTTCTTTTTTCTTTTCTTTTTTCATGCCCACTCCAGGGGGGACACTGATCTAGCCAATCAGTGTCCTATCAATAGGAATGATGGAAAAGTACATTGACAGATTTACAAATGTGCAGTTGGAAGATCTCTTTACCTTGCAACATCCTGACTGGTGGAGAAGAGAGGGAGTCTGATCAATGTGATCATGCAGAGCAGGTTCTGGTGTCAGGTGTGACTGGTCTTAATCTTAACTGGGCGGGTAAGGAGAGGGAGGCTGAAGAAACCCCCCTAGCTGAGAGGCGTGCCCAGCAATGCAACCTGACCAAGTTTACAGTACGTTTATGAACATTTGATACTTACTTTTCAAACCTTTTCTTCCTTCTTTTGGTTTGTATATGAATTTAAAAGGTTTTTGCTTCCTGGTTTGAAAATAATGGTCACGTGATGCATGTCCTTTTATCATTACTTTTCAGACTTAGCAAATACAGATTTGTTAAACATAGGGCTAAGTAAATATAATATAAAAAAATCTGTGGAAGTGACGGTGCCTAGGTGCAGTACATCAGGGAATTAAATCAGGGAGGTGAGACTGTCCTGCCAAAATCTGGACTTCTGATGGGGGTGGACAGGTGTATAATGTATCAGAGCACCATTGTAATAAAACTCACAGTAATGTGCAGTGTGTATGAGAATCACAGAGCCCTACAAAATAAAACTCACAGTAATGTGCAGAGTGTATGAGTGTATCACAGAGCTCCACAGCAATAAAACTCACAGTAATGTGCAGTGTATGAATATATCACAGAGCTCCACAGCTATAAAACTCAAAGTAAGGTAAATATGCTGTGTTATACCTGAGCGTGGTCCTGACGGAGAACCCATGGATGATCCTAGCTTGGCCAGACCATGGTCAGCATTTGCACCAATGTCGTCACCCAGCACCATATTAGTTGGGCTTTCTGTGTAAAAAAACAAATATTCCAGGGCAAAGTTATCAATCATTAAGAACATAATTTAAATAGACATTCACTAAAATGTATTAAATGTTTTCAGAGAAAGCCTCTACAATGATGTAACCGGGATTTACATTAGCCAAATTAATAAACACTAGCTTAATTACAAGATTTTTACTAAACTGGATGTGCCTTCCTTTTCACATGGATTCAGCAGACTATGAGGCTTCGACGTTAGACTGCTGGAGGACTCATCCTGAATCCAAAATTCATTAGACATTGATAGCTCACAAACTCCTGTGCTCATTGATTTTACTCCTCATTTCTGAAAATGTCTTTACTTGTCTCTTCCTGTGTCTTAGCCATCTCAATTTCCCCTTTTTAATCCTGCTGTCTCAATGTTACTGTACTTACTGTATGTAGACATTATCCCCATATACTGACATTACTTTAATAATCTGGTGGGATTTATGGGATCTGTGTGCGCTAATTGTCATCAGGGTCTTTGGAAATACACACAAGCAGAATATTTGACCATATTTATTTATCTATTAGTGTCATTACTGCTGCATATAACACTGAACACTAATAAACTTGTTATCCCCAATGTGTCCACGGTGTGACAGTTAATAATTGTTGTAATAAATTCCAATCTAAGTAGTACTTTGTCAATGTTAGAACGATAGTTTGTTATAATGTTACTAACCTTCATGTTTCTCCGGTTCACAATTAGCCTTCCTTATAACACTCCTACGTTGTCTGTTTAGGATGTCTCTGCGTGTCTGCAAATATTCCATGTCTTCATTTCTGTTATTAGACGTATACGAAGGTGACTGCAGATGTAAAGGATGAACACAAAATGCAATTACAGCCACTAAAAAGATATATCCTTTAGTTTTATATATAATAGCAAATCCAATGACTTTGGAGGCCAGTGCCATGGACCTAAAGCTTTATCTAAATTGGATTGTCCTTTTTTTAAAGTATTTTTTCAAACTGTGTATTTATATTAATTCACATACATGATATACACAACTAAAATAATATCTTTACATTTTAAAATTCTATGCATTTACAATACATCCATTAATGTTCCAGTCCACTTATTTGTCCTGGTGTCCCACCCAGTCCTCCACCGACTAAGCTCTCTGACACTTTAGATTTTATTATGATTAATTAATTACAGAGGTCCCTGCCATCCACGGCTACTAAATAGCAAAGGACATATTTAATTTATGGTTAGCAATAAAAATTATAATTTTTCCTCTTTCCATGAAATTAGATCACTATTCTGCCTGTTTCTAGCAATAACTATTTTTACCGCAAGTAAAATTGAAGAAATAGAACTTTTAGATTAGTTGAAAACATATCCAGATCGAAGTGCCCTCTCTGGCCTTGGTTCACAGTTGCAATTTGATCATTTTCTAACAAGTTTAAATGTCTTCAGCCATTTCATGCTGATCCTGTTACAGGACCACCACACATGAATAAAAGAGCCTTCTTGGTGTTTTATTTTTTTTTTAATCTCCAACGTAATGAAGTTGTATAGCCGAATTTATATATTTTGAGGTTGACGGGATTGTCCTGTTTTATTCTATCCTGTTCATAATCCTGTCTCCAAATAATCTGAACCTGGTGCGTTTATTCTAATTTACAGTACTGATCTGATCTTGGTACCCTGCCGATGCCGTGGAAGAGATATGTCAAGTTTTCATTTGACGTAGCAAAATTCCCATCTTCACAGGTGGTCCTTTTATGGTCCAAGATGTAATCTCTTCTTTCAGCTAAGTTTCAAAAAAACCCTCTCTACAGATCCCAGGCTTTTCATGCAATTCCTTGCACCTAAAGATCTCAAAGCCAAAGATAAATTTCTATTCAAAATCAGGCTGCTGTTCAAAGGACCTACTGTCCCCGAGAGGGCACACCTTCCCTGATGAAACAAAAGAATATGAACTCAATGCTTAAGAACAAACTAATAGCGAATTAAGACCTCATTATAAAAAACACAGAATAAGTACAGGTTTATTGCATGTTTTTATTTTCTTTCTTGCAATTAAAATGGTATTTAAGTTTAGCAGGTTTGTTTTACTGTGAAGTGGAATATCTGTCTTGCTTGTGATTGTTTCATTCACGAATACCATTGTGTCAGAGTGTGTGGGTGTAGATTCTAGTCAGTGTGTGGCTGTAGATTCCAGGCTGTGTGTAGGTGTAGATGTCAGAGTGTGTTGGTGCAGGAGTCAGAATGTGTGTTGGTATAGGTTTCAGAATCTGTGGGGTGTTGGTGTCAGAGTGTGGGGGTGTAGGTGTCAGAATGTGCGTGGGCATAAGTGCCAGAATGTGTATGGGTGTAGGTGTCTGGGTATGTGGGGGTGAAGGTGTCAGAATGTGTATGGGTGTATTTGTCAGAGTGTGTGTGGGTGTAGTTGTTAGAGTGTGGGGGTGTTGGTGTCAGTGTGTGCAGGTGTCCATGTGTGTATATTGGTCAGAGTGTGTGGGTGTAGATGTCAGAGTGTGGGGGTGTAGGTGTCAGGATGTGTGTGGGTGTAAGTACCAGAATGTGTACAGGTGTAGGTGTGTGGGTGTGTGGAGGTGTAGTCGTCAGAATGTGTGAGGGTATAGGTGTTAGAGTTGTGGTGGTGTAGATTTCAAGGTGTGTTGGTATAGGAGTCAGAGTGTGGAGGTGTAGTTGCCAGGGTGTATGGGTGTAGGTATCAGAATGTGTGTAGGTACAGATTTCATGGTGTCAGGGTGTAGGTGTCAGAGTGTGTGAGTGTAGGTGTCAGAATGTGGGTGTAGGCATTAGAGTGTGGGGTGTAGGTGTTAGAGTTGTGGTGGTGTAGATTTCAAGGTGTGTTGGTGTAGGTGTCAGAATATAGATGTGTCGTTACCAGGATGTTTGGGTGTAGGTGTTAGTGTGTGGGTTTAGGTGTAAGGGTGTATAGGTGTAGGTGTCAGAATGTGTGTGGGTGCAGATTTCATGGTGTCAGGGTGTAGGTGTCAGAATATAGATGTGTCGTTACCAGGATGTTTGGGTGTAGGTGTTAGTGTGTGGGTTTAGGTGTCAGAGTGCATGGTTGTAGGTGTCAGTGTGTGTGTGGGTGTAGGTGTCAGGGTGTGGGGGTATAGCTTTCAAGATGTGTGTCGGTATATGAGTCAGAGTGTGGGGGTGTAGATGTTAGAGTGTGTGGGTGTAGGTGTCAGGGTGTGTGGGTATAGCTATCATGATGTGTGCCGGTATATGTGTCAGAGTGTGGAGGTGTAGATGTCAGAGTGTGGGGGTGTAGATAATTTAATGTTAATAAACGTGAAATAAGATGCAGGCTCATCGTATATGGTGGTAAAATCTCTGATTATTATTATTATTATTATGATATTTATATAGCGCCATCAAATTCCACAGCACTTTACAATGGGTGGACGAACAGACGTAGTTGTAACCAGACAAGTTGTATACACAGGAACAGAGGGGTTGAGGGCCCTGCTCAATGAGCTTACATGCTAGAGGGAGTGGGGTAAAATGACACAAAAAGGTAAGGATAGTATTAGACTAGTGACAGCAGACAATGTCTTCTGTGTTCCCAGGAATGCAAGTAAAAGAAATAGTGGAAAATTGTATAAAGGCAAAGAAACTGATTTATTTTAAATGTTTATTATTTTTTATGCCATCATCACAAATTTCATCCAGAGTGAAGATAGATCAAGCTTATTTTGCACCTGCATTTTACCCATTGACCCAGCTTTTCAAGAGATTCGATGATGGACTTTTAACTACGTTTTAACTTGTAAGTGTGACACAATAAAGCAGTTTATTTACCTTTATAGAGTGTTGCACTATGGTTATTTCTTTTACATGCGTTCCTGAGAACACAGAAGACCTTGTCTATCAGAGATATTACAGTCATATCAGATGAGCCGGCATTTTATTTCACACTTGTGAATTGAATTGAATTGAATTTTCTATCACCAAGTGAATTTTTATACTCTATTTTTGGTCCTTGTTGTTTTATTTTTGTAGATACATATTTGTGTTGTTTTATTTCGAGGAATCCTTATGCTATCTATAATAATTTAAATAAAAGGGTAAATACCCATTGCGTTTTTGCACTGCACTATAAGGGTGAGCATGCTGTTTGAGTTTATTTTTCCGTGCGAGAAGGTGTCAGAATGTGTGTGGGTGTAGGTGTCAGAATGTGTGTGTGGGTATATGTGTCAGAGTGTGTGAGGGTATAGGTGTCAGAGTGTGTGGGGTGTAAGTGTCAGAGTGTTTGAATGTAGTTGTCTCAGTGTGTGGGTGTAGGAATCCGAGTGTTAGAGTGTGGGGGTGTTGGTGTCAGTGTGTGCAGGTGTCCGTGTGTGTGTATATTGGTCAGAGTGTGTGGGTTTAGATGTCAGAGTGTGGGGGTGTAGGTGCCAGGATGTGTGTGGGTGTAAGTACCAGAATGTGTACGGGTGTAGGTGTGTGGGTGTGTAGTTGTCAGAATGTGTGGGGGTATAGGTGTTAGAATTGTGGTGGTGTAGATTTCAAGGTGTGTGGGTGTAAGTACCAGAATGTTTACGGGTTTGGGTGTGTGGGTGTGAAGGTGTCAGAATGTGTGGGGGTATAGGTGTCAGAGTGTGTGTGGGGGGGTGTAGGTGTCAGAGTGTGTGGAGGTATAGGTGTCAGAGTGTGTGGGGGTATAGGTGTCAGGATGTGTTTGGGAGGGGTGGGGGTATAGGTGTCAGAGTGTGTGGAGGTATAGGTGTCAGAGTGTTTGAATGTAGGTGTCTCAGTGTGTGGGCTTAGGCATCCGAGTGTGTAGGGGTATAGGTGTCAGAGTGTGTTGGGGTGTAGGTGTCAGAGTGAATGGGGGTGTAGGTGTCAGAGTGTGTGGGGATAAAGGTGTCAGAGTGTGTGGGGGTATATGTGTCAGGATGTGTTGGGGTGTAGGTGTCAGAGTGTGTGGGGGGTAAAGTTGATGTTTAAGAGTAGATGTCAAAGAGTAGGAGGGTCAATTAGTTTTTGAAGATGAAGGCTGTGAGGGCAGATTCACTACTCACATACTTTATCTTTTACTTCTTAGATCCATTTACACACTAAATGGCACATTCAGTCACCCATTCAGTCACATATACCTAACCCACCACCTAGTCACCCTCATAGTTATATACACTCATCTAGTAACATAAAGCCACCCATGAATCATCCACTTAAATACACACCTTGTAACAGGCTTAGTCACGTATCCAAAACACAGTCCACCACATAAACACCCACCAGGTCACATACAGTCACTCTTTCAGTCACATATACATAACCCACCACCTAGACACCCTCTAAGCCACATACAGTCACTCTTTTAGTCACATATAAATAACCCACAACCTAGACACCTCCAAGCCATATACAGTCACTCGTTCAATCACATATACCTAACCCACCACCTAGACACCCACCAAGCCACATACAGTCACTCTTTCAGTCACGTACCAAGCCACCAATCTGCATTCGCTCACCAACACCGTAACAAGCTGGTCTGTACAGATCTTTTACTGCTAATGCTAAATGAGAAGGATATCCAAAGTCATGGACGTGTATTAAACATATTAAGGATGTATCTGGAACTTGAAAATACTGTTTGCAACATAGAAAGATGACTTAATTTAACATCAGCTACACTGGTCTATTAATGCATAATGAGTAGAAAATGTTACTTTAGGAGTAAAATAATATAAAAACTAATGAGGATGAATATTCGAATACAGTTGAATCTTGGAATAAAGTAAATCTTCTCTAATTTCAGTGTACTCTATAAAAGACAATTTGTTATCACTGCAGACTTACCCGTGAAATAATTAATTGTTGTTCTGAGTTCCTGTTGTTGGTCCATTGTGTAGAAGGCTTCGGAGGTTTGGTGGGACGCTAAGTAGAAGATTCTGTGGGTTGGGTGGGACGCTGGGTAGTATATTCTGTGGGTTTGGTGGGACACAGGATACAAGATTCTGAAGCTTGGGTGGAATGCTGCATAGAAGGTTTTGGATGTTTGATGGGACGCTGGGTAGAACATTTTGTGGGTTGGGTGGAGCGCCGGGTAGAAGATTCTGTGGGTTGGGTGGAAAGCTGGATAAAAGGTTTTGGATGTTTGGTGGGACGCTGGGTAGAAGATTCTGTGTGTTGTGTGGAACGCCAGGTAGAAGACTCTGTGGGTTGGCTGGGACACTGGGTAGAAGATTCTGGCGGTAGAGTGGGATGCTGGACAAAAGAGATTGGAGGTTGGGTGGGGTGCTGGGTAAAATGGTTTGGATGTTTGGTAGGGTGTTGGGTAGAAGTCTTTGGAGGTTGAGTGGGATGTTGGGTAGAAGTGCTTGGATGTTTGATTGAGCGCTGAGTAGAAGTATTTGGAAGATGGGTGGGATGTTGGGTAGAAGGGTTTGGATGCTGGGTGGGATGCTGGTTAGAGTATTCTGAAGGTTGGGTGGGACACTGGGTAGAGGATTCTGGATGTTGGGTGGGATGCTGTATAAAAGAGATTGGATGTCTGGTGGGATGCTGGACAGAAGAGTTTGGATGTTTGAGGGGGTGGTGGGTAGAGTATCCTGGAGATTTGGTGGGATGGCGAGAGAAAGACATTTTCTTCAAATCTCAGCTGAGCTGCTCCAGTTTTGGACCTGTGAGGTTAATTTGACCATTAGTATATATAAGCCATCCTTTTATCTTTATTTAGGTTTTTACTTCTCTGTTTATATTAAGAGACTTGTTATAGAAATTCTCTCCATATCATTATTCTAATTTGGGCTCAAATATTCACAGAATTTTTTAAAATTATCCCACATAGATATAAAACAAACTATTAACTGCTAGGCTCTCTTTATAATCCAAATGTTAGAGTTAACACCTTCAATATCCTTTTCATTGAAATAAAACTAATAATATAACATTTATTTGAAACTTGGAATGTACAATTGTACGCTGTGTGTACATTCATTTACCTGAACCTGCGGGTTTGGGGGTTTTCACTGCTGTCACACCATGATGCTCCCCCAAAAAGCCTTGCCACAGGGAAATTGCTCAATATAAAATCACAGAAGCAGCAACATCATTATTTATGTTCTAAATGTTGTTATTGTTTTTAACAAGCATTAAAGAGCCGACTTTATGGTGCGTGTTATGTCCGTGGACCCCAGGTGTTAGATCTCACCAGATCAGCGGTGACATCAATATAATGATCTGTTTGGAGGCAGCAACCCATCACACAGGTTAGTTCTGTGCTGGACATGACTGTTTCCAATTTTGATCCAAGCATTAATGTTGCATATGACGTAGCTGTTAAGTTGCATGTTTGCTCTGTGTGGTGAATCGTTTTCTCTCAGTCCTCGCGATCAACCAACAGACTGTCTCTTTTCAAATAATTTTTATTAAAGTTTTTTAACAGACTGTCTCTGTCAGCCAAGTCGGTAAGACTGAGGAAACGTGCAGCACCAGTGCATTATAGGTGATCGCACTGCACTAGCAATGCAATACAGGGCATCACAGTCCGTACACAAGTCCTACAACAGTGCCCTACACAGACCTGATTAGCTGGCTTCTGTACAGCCGGTCATCCTGATGCCCTGATTGGCTGGCTTCCGTACAGTCTGTCATCCTAATGCCCTGATTGGCTGGCTTCTGTACCACCTGTCATCCTGATACCCTGATTGGCTGGCTTCTGTACCACCTGTCATCCTGATGCCCTGATTGGCTGGCTTCTGTACAGCCTGGCATCCTGATGCCCTGATTGGCTGGCTTCTGTACAGCCTGTCATCCTGATGCCCTGATTGGCTGGCTTCTGTACCACCGGTCATCCTGATGCCCTGATTGGCTGGCTTCTGTACCGCCTGTCATCCTGATGCCCTGATTGGCTGGCTTCTGTACAGCCTGTCATCCTGATGCCCTGATTGGCTGGATTCTGTACTGCCTGTCATCCTAATGCCCTGATTGGCTGGCTTCTGTACAGCCTGTCATCCTGATGCCCTGATTGGCTGGCTTCTGTACAGCCTGTCATCCTGATGCCCTGATTGGCTGGATTCTGTACTGCCTGTCATCCTGATGCCCTGATTGGCTGGCTTCTGTACAGCCTGTCAACCTGATGCCCTGATTGGCTGGCTTCTGTACAGCCTGTCATCCTGATGCCCTGATTGGCTGGCTTCTGTACAGCCTGTCATCCGGATGCCCTGATTGGCTGGCTTCTGTACAGCCTGTCATCCTGATGCTCTGATTGGCTGGCTTCTGTACAGCCTGTCATCCTGATGCTCTGATTGGCTGGCTTTTGTACAGCGTGCCATCCTGATGTACTGGGGTGATGTGGGTGGGAACTTTGTCCATTGCGCTAACTGCAAAATGCACACAAACATAAGCTGGTCACTCCCCCAACCACACACAACCTCTGCAGAAATCCAACATGCAGTTTTAGCAGTCTGTATGACACTGTGACTTGGGTTTCTGGGAGTTGTTGTTCAGTTATTAGCGTACTACAGCAGAAGATGTTGCCCAGTAAGATATTAGTGCAAGCAATAATTCGGCAGGCCGCCATTAAAATGTATACCTTAAAATGCAGATACCTTCCACTAGAATCCATTATAATAAACAATAAGCAGCAATGTTTAGAACAAATGTAAAAAAAGTATTTTCTTCCTTTATTCTCCCACGTGTGGCTTTATAACCCGCAACATGCAGCAGACAGGGCCTATTCTCCCACGTGCGGCTTTATAATCCGCAACATGCAGCAGGCAGGACCTATTCTCCCACGTGCGGCTTTATAATCCGCAACATGCAGCAGGCAGGACCTATTCTCCCACGTGCGGCTTTATAATCCGCAACATGCAGCAGACAGGACCTATTCTCCCACGTGTGGCTTTATAATCCGCAACATGCAGCAGACAGGACCTATTCTCCCACGTGCGGCTTTATAATCCGCAACATGCAGCAGACAGGGCCTATTCTCCCACGTGCGGCTTTATAATCCGCAACATGCAGCAGAGATACAGGGACCTATTCTTCAATGCGGCGGGTTTTATAATCCGCACGCAGACAGGGCTTGTTTTCCTTCCCACGCGGCGGCTTTATAATCCAAATACAGCAGGCAGGACCTATTCTCCCACGGCGGCTTTATAATCCGCAGAACATGGCAGACAGGGCCTATTCTCCAATGCAAGGCAGGCTTTGTATAATCCGCAACATGCAAGTGGCAGGTGGCAGGACCTATTCTCCCAAGCAGCGGCTTTTACCCGCAAAATATTTAAGCAGACAGGACCCATTCTCCCACGCGGTGGTTTTATAATCCCAGAATATGCAGCAGGTAGACAGGACCTATTCTCCCACGTGTGGGTTTATAATCCGTAACATGCAGCAGACAGGACCTATTCTCCCACGTGCGGCTTTATAATCCGCAACATGCAGCAGACAGGACCTATTCTCCCACGTGTGGGTTTATAATCCGTAACATTCAGCAGACAGGACCTATTCTCCCACGTGCGGCTTTATAATCCGCAACATGCAGCAGACAGGGCCTATTCTCCCACGCGCGGCTTTATAATCCGTAACATGCAGCAGACAGGGCCTATTCTCCCACGCGCGGCTTTATAATCCGCAACATGCAGCAGACAGGGCCTATTCTCCCACGCGTGGCTTTATAATCCGCAACATGCAGCAGACAGGGCCTATTCTCCCACGTGCGGCTTTATAATCCGCAACATGCAGCAGACAGCACCTATTCTCCCACGTGCGGCTTTATAATCCGCAACATGCAGCAGACAGGGCCTATTCTCCCACGTGCGGCTTTATAATCTGCAACATGCAGCAGACAGGGCTTGTGTTTCACCAATTTAAGAGCAGTCGACGCGTTTTGTACTGCTGCACTGTAACAAGGCTCAATTTAATCCACACCTCCAGCCTCAGGAAGGTGAGATTTTTTTAATTTGGTCTCAAAATTGCTGCTTACAATTATATTGCAACAGAATGCTAACAGCTGAACTACAACTCCCCGAAACCCTTGATGTGCCCATAGACCACTTCTTGTTGGAAAGGCTCAGCAGTGCATATAAATACTCGCTCACTGCAAGTCTGGCATTGTCCTTATGTTTCAAGGAAACATGAGTTTATGGAATGTCAGTATCTCTTATTTTGTTTGTTCATATTTGTTAATGCACTTTCTATATGATGCCTAAGATATGGGTGAGATCCAGCACGGAATGTCTTTAATAGCTGAATGAAAACACCTAGAAACACGGTAAGATCCCTCAGCTGCCCCCTGGACAAGGGCTCACGCTCTAATCGCCAAGACTAGGATCTAACATACTGAGCAGGGACCAACAGCCAATCAATGCCACTCAGTGTAGGAAATCTCAGTGCAAACTCTCATTACAACTAGCCAAACACAGCGTGCAATGCTTACCTGCAGCCAGCAGACACCAGACTGGATACCCTGAGCACCTGCAGGAGGCTCTATAAACATTCAGGAAGAGGGGGAGGGTTGATGATGAGAATCAGATGTAGTATGTACGCTGGAATGCAAAAACAGCTTCGAAACACCATGGGGTTTGAATGTTGCATTCTTCCTGATACATATTATCAAGAAAAACACAACTTCTTCCTGTGAAATGTTTATTTTTCATATAAAATTGACAACATTTGGTGAGTGGCTGTGAGTTTTATTATGGATTTTCCAAATAATAATAATAATAATAATAATAATTATAATAAAATAAAAATAAAGTTTAAACCAAAACCAAATAACCATTAATCATTTCCAGGCTCCGCCCCTTAATGCCAGGAGCCCTAACTAAAGACTCGGTGGCCCTCCAAAGCCACGGCCATCTCCACCATAGACTGAATTAAATATGTCCAGACCTATATCAGACAGATGAATCGCATTGCTCCTATAAAAACCTGCACAACTGCCCTCAATATCGCTGTGCCTCTGCGAACGCATCCCGAACGTTGGCAGAAACTTCTCTAGCGCCCGGTTTAATTGTCTCCGCACCCTTTCCAGCGGTTTTAAATAACTTACTTTCCGCCAGCAATGTCTTGCTATGATCTCTGATCAAATAAAAAGCACTTAAGGCAAAAACTGTGTTACTTTTTAAGTGATGGCTTAAAAAGTAAACAGAGAGTTGCAGCTTGTAACATATATGACGAGGTAATTGAGTGAGAATTTTAAACAGCTGGAGGAGCATTCTATAAATTTAGGAGGAACCTAGGTGGACAGGTTGAGCCGAGTAGAACTGAAGAGGGTTGTTTGCAGATAGTATGGGATCTGGACCTAAGGAGGGGTAGAGATAAACAGTGAGGAATAATGCTCTTTGCCTAAATGATTACACACAGCAAACATTTTATTTGTCTGGCACCAGCTGAGGTGAATCATTTTTGCAGCTCTTAGATTTTTACACCCGCGGTTCCCGCCGCTTGGTAGCTTGTGCTGCAATTAGCCAATCAGAAACCCTACTTGAGCGCGAGATTCCCGTCAAAACTAGCCACACGCGCTGCCCTGTGCCTGACACCTGGCTCGCGCTATCTCCTCACACTCACCTGAATACTTAACCACAAACCTCCAATGCATCAAACCCCATCATATGGTAACGTGCAGGGTTATTCAATAAAATGACACTAGAGCACGCATATTATATATATATATCATATGGTGACGCGCAGGGTTATTCAATAAAATGAGACTGGAACACGCATATTATATATATCATATGGTAACGTGCAGGGTTATTCAATGAATTGAGACTGGAACACAGATATTCTAAAAATGAGACGAGTGCAGAGATTCTAAATATCATATGGTAACGAGCATGGACACTGGAGCGCAGATATTATAAATATCATCTGGTAACGAGCAGGGTTATTCAATAAAATGACACTGGAGAATTGTTGAAAATACATAGGAGATAAGAGACCACAAAGTGAGAAGAGAGACGCAACAAGGGGAAAAGATACAGAAAGGGGGAGTTAAGAGACACACAGGGAAATATGCAATTTGTAAAATACATTCTTCACTGTGTAGTCAGAAATCCTTGCTTTGGCCCTGATTGGATGTTTGATAAAAGATTTACATTATTAGTTATTATCAGATCCATGCAGACATGCCACCTAGTAGTGAGACGTGAAGCTGTCCTTTAAAGGAACACTATAGTCACCTAAATTACTTTAGCTAAATAAAGCAGTTTTAGTGTATAGATCATTCCCCTGCAATTTCACTGCTCAATTCACTGTCATTTAGGAGTTAAATCACTTTGTTTCTGCTTATGCAGCCCTAGCCACACCTCCCCTGGCTATGATTGACAGAGCCTGCATGTAAAAAAAAACTGGTTTCACTTTCAAACAATTGTAATTGTATCTCAATCTCTACATTGAACTTTAATCACATACAGGAGGCTCTTGCAGGGTCTAGCAAGCTATTAACATACCAGGGGATAAGAAAATCTTAATTAAACAGAACTTGCAATAAAGAAAGCCTAAATAGGGCTCTCTCTTTACAGGAAGTGTTTATGGAAGGCTGTGCAAGTCACATGCAGGGAGGTGTGACTAGGGTTCATAAACAAAGGGATTTAACTCCTAAATGGCAGAGGATTGAGCAGTGAGGCTGCGGGGGCATGTTCTATACACCAAAACTGCTTCATTAAGCTAAAGTTGTTCAGGTGACTATAGTGTCCCTTTAACAGGTTCCTAAACTTGTTTCCTATAGCTGACCCTCCGGTCTGTACGGCTCAGTCAGTACCTGGTTAATACAAATATAATGGGGGAAACTCTGTTCCTGTGGGGTTTTTGGGGGGAGTTTTGTAAAACTCTTTCCTGTATATAT